TTTGTTAATAGCTGAGACGTGTGTTGGTACACGTGAGGAGCTGGATAAATCAGATACATCGTCCCTCAATTTGTCGAGGTCCTGGGACAGTTTTTTCACAGCTGAGATGATGGAAGGAGTGAGATTGTCTTCGAACTCTCGGAGTTTATGAACCATTTCATCCACTGTTAGTGGTACTATGTCATTCCAGGTCACTGTTGCCAATGAATGGGCATATGATGACGGTGCATTCCATGTAAGTTTTCGCCACATGGGTCGTGTACATTCAACTTCATCTGGATCTATAGGTGTATCCCCGTTATTCGGCTTGATGTGATAGATCATCTCTACGATGGCCGATTCCCTCAGAGACTGGATGCCTTTGTCTATAGTAGTCCACTTGGCCGAACGACTCGTAACATCGTCCTTGTACGGAAACCTTTCTTTCACAGCTGCCAAGAGCCTCCTCCAAAGGCTGAGGGACTTTTTCTCTCTTGCAATTGCTTTGTCAATTCCCCCTTCTCTAGCAAGTGATCCCAGCTGCTTGGCTTCTGTACCTTCTAGTTCGTGACCATCGGCCCCATTGTCCCAGCATCGGAGTAACCAGGTGATGATGTGCTCCCCTGGTTGACGGGTAAAATCTTTTCGCATATTCCGCAGCTCGGTTGAGGTTCGAGGTCGAGAAGTTACCTCTTCTTCTTCTTCTTCGTCATGTGATGATGACTCCTGATCAGATTCTGGACCGGGTGGTGAATTCATTGGTTCTTCATCTCGCTTCACCCTTTTTGCCTCCTTTTTGCTTGTTCTCTTGTGTACAGGGGCAACTGATATTGGTACGAATTGGTCCTCTGGTTTGGCTGCAGTGATTATCACTGTGGTTTGAGTAGCGACTGTACTTGTTGCTGGGGGTGGTGTAGCTACCGTGCTTGGAGCTGGGGTAACCGCGCTGTCTGTTGCAGTTGAAGTTTGAGCAGCTGCTGTACTTGCCACTGGGGTAGCTGCGCAGTTCATTGCAGCCAAAGTTTGAGTAGCGACTGTCGCTTTGCCCTCAAATCCGCCGATATTCTTTTCCTTTTGAAGGTGCTGGATAGTGTTGAACAAGGCCCTGTAAGCATAGGCCAAGCCCCAGCACGTTGCCGTGATTTGTCCATCTCTGGTATGGCCAGAATGACCACACACCTCATTTAAGTGTTTTACTAATTCTTCTGGATTTTGCAGTTGTTCGGTAGTGAAATTCCAAAGTACTGGAGGGGCCCACTGACCTAGATACTTGCCCATACTATCCCACACACCCTGCCACTCATGGCTGTCCAGCCTCTGGGAAAATCTCTCGGTCCTCCTACATCGTCTTTTGACCCCAGACAAGACCCAAACCTGAATCTGCTTAACTCTTGAAATCAGTAGTGGGCAAAACACACTCTGTATGCGTGTTAGCATGGTGATTCCCATCACCATCAGTAAACAAGTCTCAACAGCATTAAAAGGCCATTTAAAAAATTCAAAACTCTCAAATGTAAATGGTCTGGGGGGACGACTAGGAGGGTAAAAGGATGTCTCCTTCACAGGTTGAGCACCTGAGAAGGAGAAAAAAGATGTGTAATTGCTAAGCACCTCCATCATATACCTCCCAAAGTATAAAGGTGGTGACCACACTGGGAACATAAACCAGATCAGTTTCATGATCAATGATTCTATTGTATTACAAGTCATTACCATAAAGTACAATGGGATAAAAACCTTAGCCCAAGCCCCACACTTGAAAAACACTAATACAGCCAATACCGGATGGACGTAAGATATGGTATACTGAAACTGTGAGATCAAGAGGAAAAACCTTGAGAGCCAATAAATCAGCATTGTGACGAGTGACTATCAATCCAGTCAGATCTGTTCTTATCTCAACCCCTCGTGCCCCACGTTGGGCGCCAAAAAGAACTGTCGTGGTTTAAACCCAGTCAGGTAACTTGTTCACTCACTCCCAGTGAGTGGTGCCAAGCTGACAACAATCAAGGTCCGTGTCCGTCTCCCCCCCCACCCTGCACTGGGGCTCTCCCCTTCCCCGCTCCTGGAGGAACGGGGAGGAGGATCGAGAGAGTGCAACTCCTACGGGTTGAGACAAGAACAGTCCAGCAACAAATCACCACCGCTACTATCAGCTAAAACAATGATAAGGGAAAATAACAAGGGAAGAGAATACGATACCACCGGCCAAGAAAAACGAGTTCCACCCGGAAGCTTCTGTCCTTCCGGGTAACTCCCAGTTACCCCCCACCCCGGGCATGACGTGCTGTGGTATGGAATACCTCCCCGGCTAGCCCGGGTCAGGCGCCCCGTCTCTGCTTCCTCACAGCCTCCCCTCCTCCCTGGCAGAGCATGAGCCACACAGAGTCCTTGGTCAGGGTAAACATCACTTAGCAACAACCGACAACATCGGCTTCACCAACGCTGTTCTCAAACTAGAAGTCAAAACACAGCACTGCACCAGTTAACACAAAGGAAAAAACATGACTGCTACTGCTGAACCCAGGACAGTGGGGCAGCCACAACTTCTCTGGGCAACCTGTTCCAGTGCCTCAGCACCCTCATGGTAAAGAATTTTTCCCTAATATCTACCTAAATCTCCTCTATGTCAGTTTAAAACCGTTGCCTTTTGTCCTGTCACTACCCCAACTCTCTCAGCCTCTCTTAATATGAAAGGTTTGAAGATAAATAATCTTTCTAGAATAATGATTTTAGGTCTACCTGGAAATACAGTTGAGCTTTGTAGACCTATTTCCTCTTCATTCTAGGTTAGAGTGGTCTGTGCCTCAACTGCAGGCAGAGAAATAAACAACAATCTGAGTTGCAGCTTCTTACCACTCAGATGATAGCTCTTTCACTCATTACTTTTAATGAACAGCTTGTTTCTGAATTAAGCAATAAAGATAAATGGTCAGAGGAGACTGCATCTTGAATCATGCAAGTGATGCTTTACTCAGTGCAATAATCGAGAAACTGGCTGAGTGGAGAAGAAAGATTTGTTGTTATTAAAAACAAAATAAAACAAAAACCTGAGTGTCAATCTGTTAACACAGTCAAAAGGATAAAATACCTGTACCAGCTCTACCATTGTAAGAAATCTGAAAGAGACAATCTTCTGTTTTTCCCCCTCTCTACTGTTTGTGACACCCAGGATGGCATCTGCAGCTCTTCATCAAGGTGGAAACATGTAAAAGACTATTTTTTCTTTAATGGCAAGAGGAAAGAAAGAACTTGGGTGTCTGGGAGATAAAATGGATATGAAGAAGTTTACCTGTTTAAGTCAGTAGAAGGATTAAGGTCATATAATGATTACAGTTTGCAAAAAAATACTTGAGTATAATTTATGGAAATAGGTGTAGCAGTATATTTTTTCTTGAACTATAACCATTTTTATTGATTTCGTGATGATTGTAATATGTGTATTTTTGCAAAAGTGATATATCTCAATGGCACTTCAGGACAGTTTTTCCAAAGTAATAAACATTGCCACTAAGTGAAAAGATTTCATCCTATGTTATGCATTTTGTTCTTACTTTCTGTATTTAATACTGTCATAGGTGATAGGGTTTCTTTTTTTCCTCCCACTAGCAGTACCTCCAATCCAAAGTTGCTTAAGCAACATCAAGGCATCCAAAGAGTTTGCTCATGTGAATAATAGAGCTCCGCTTAATTTATGATTTTTTTAAGCCTCCCAAATACCTGTATGTTGAACAAAAACAAAGCCCTAAAATAGTTTCATGTATCTGCCTGTTCATCAGATTCACAGTCTGGGAATGAAGCCAACCATATAGCAGTGGCTGCAACAGTAAAACAAAAGTAGAGCCAGATCTCAGACTAAAAAGTAGTTTATCTGACCATCAAGACATAATCACCTACAGAGAATTGCCATTGCAATGACAGATGTTTGCACACGAGGCTGGTGAGGCAGCAAAAATGATAGTTTAACACTAGCTTTCACCAAATAAAATCAAAGACAGGAGCCAGACACAGTCCCAGTGCTAACCTCCTCTGTTATATAGGGAAAGAAAATGGCAGTATTTTAGAGTGCTTTTTGTTTTCTCTATTAATTTCTTTTCCCATTTGTTATCAGAATTCAGACCTCTGCTCTACTGGCATTGATACCAATTATTGCTCAGTTGCTCATAAGAGGGAGAAGAGTATTTCATCCAATTATTTAACCTGTTCCCACGTGGGTATTTGTATTTACTTGGCACTTGCAGTCCCTAATTGAGATTGAGGCCTTGTTAAATTAGCAGTGTATATGCATTAAAATACACATAGGTATATTGATGCATATATGTGTTTTTAAATATGTATACACACACGCATATTTTAATGATATGACATCTCTCCTTATGTCTGAATGGTCAAGAGAAAGGTGAGGAGAAAGAAAATATTTTTCCTGAATCAAAATAGGTGGAGAAAATTTAACTGATTTTTGGAAGTATAAATCATGATGAGGAGACAGGATGGCAATATTATTCAGCAGGTCTCTGACCCATCATTGAGAGTGTTATTTGGAACAGGTTATATGGAACATGTTCTCCCGTTGCTAAAACACTAAAAAAAAAAAAAAAAAAAAATTGTAACTTTTCCTTCTAAATACTCATTATACTTCCTGTAGAATTTCTGAGGAAGAGGGATATATAATATCTTAATATTCATCTGAAATAAAAAGAAAGTGGGGGGGGGGGAAGACAAGTCATAAGGCAGAAAATGAAAGTGGTGTCAAAAGCATACACAAGGGGGAAAACCTTAAAAACCAAGTAATGATGAAAGAAAACTTCTCCTATTGAACAATTAAATTTCAAGATTTTGAAGAAACTGATGCCTAAGAATGACCTTTATAGCATCCCACTCTGTCTCGCAGAATTTATACACAGGAAAGGAGGAACTTAAGAGCTTTTATCATGAATGCTTTTGGCTTAATAGAAATTGGCATCATACTGTTGTGCACCAGCACTACCTCCTGTCATCAGTGTAATCACCTTCCTTTACAGCGAAGAAAAGTGGTCAAGAACAGCATGCAACTTTTGGACAAAATGAGTGAAAAGTTTCCTCAACAATGTCTAAGAGAGAAAATGTCCTTCAGATTTCCTAAGCAGGTTCTAAAGCCCAGACAGAAAGAGGCTGTCAAAGTGGCCATTGAAGAGATCTTCCAAAGTATCTTCTACATCTTTAGCAAGAATCTGACTCTAGCTGCTTGGGATAAGACAGCTTTAGGACAGTTCCAAAATGGACTTTATCAGCAAATTGAGCAATTGGAGGCATGTGTAATCAAGAAGCAGACCCAGCATTTTTGGAGTAAAGACCCCAACAGGCTGAAACTGAAGAAGTACTTCAAAGAAATAGACTGTTTTCTTAAAGACAAACAGTACAGCCTGTGCTCCTGGGAAATAAGCCGTGCAGAAATGAGAAGATGTCTTCAGTTGGTTGATAAAGTTGTAAGGAAGCTCAACAACTAAGGTACAAAGATTTTGACCTCACATAACTTGGCTTTAAAAATATTTCTATTTATTATTTGTTCTATGATCTATCTTGTGGCAGTGCTTCTTGTTAGTTTTGATTGTATTTAAATAATTATGTTGCTGAAATATAATTTCGCAAATGTAATGCATTTAAGTAAATGCTGTGCTTCCAATTCACTTTAGCTTATTTCATAAGCTTCTTTGAAATAACTTCTCTAAAGTATCCTACAGCCACATTGGTTTAAGCATCAGATGAGGAACCACTTTAAAACTTTTCCTGATCTCCAGCCATTAAGAAGAGTATCATTCAAAGTGGTGGTAGTAAAAAGGTATGTCTAAACAAAAAATTGACTGGTAGGAACAGCAGCAATGGCATGCCAGATCTCAGGTACCATACCTATGACACGAGTCTCTTTTGCAGGTGTACATACTCTACCCACGATCATTCATGGATGCAAGCTAAAGAAGTGACAAGAGACACAGGTATCGAGCCTGAAGCTGAAATAGCAGAAATAAAGCCAGCTAAGAACTTCACTGTGGTCCAGAACAACAGAAAAGACCAAAGAAGCAGAGCAAAGAATAAGAGCCATTTTTCTACCTGGTGACACCCTGCCACAAATGTTAAAACAAAATGTACGTTTCTTGGGCTTTGTAATGAACAGCACTTGAAATGGCCCCACTGCAAGACTTTTTCAGTATTATTTCTGCTGCTTGTTTGGTTCTTTTTACACCACTTCAGCCTACTCATCTTTCTCGTTCTGCTATCCTAGTTTCAGTGCAGTAAACTGTTACTGAAATGGCCTCATTTTTATTATTATGGAAATAAGATATTTTCAGCTGCTCTCTCATGAAGAATCCCAGTTTTTATTGTCTCACTTGCATGCAGTGGGAATACATTAATTCGTGGCCCACTAATTGTTTTTAGTTTTGTTTTAGTTCATAACTATCCTTAAAAATCTCATTGCCAAATAAAAATATTTTGACGTATTTCAGTCAACAGGGTACTTTTCAGTGCAGGAAAAAACCCAGAATGGTCACTAGAGGGCAAACTGAAATTATAGACAAGTGTAAGAATTGAGGTGAATGTATATATATTTTGGAAAGACAGTGTTTCAGCTCTTTATAAGCGCATTGCTTATCAATAAACTGCTATTGGGTTGAAGAAAGGACTTCAAATTGTGTGCAGTTCTGGTGTCCTCAACATAAAAAGGGCACAGAACTGTTGGAACAAGTCCAGAAGAAGGCCATGAGGATGATCAGGGGACTGGAGCACCTCCCCTGTGAAGATAGGCTGAGAAAGTTGGGGCTGTTCAGCCTGGAGAAGAGAAGGCTGCGTGGAAAGCTCATAGCAGCCTTCCAGTATCCGAAGGGGGCCTACGGGGATGCTGGAGAGGTACTCTTCATTAGGGACTGTAGTGATAGGACAAGGGGTAACGGGTTAAAACTTAAACAGGGGAAGTTTAGATTGGATATAAGGAGGAAATTCTTTACTGTGAGGGTGGTGAGGCACTGGAATGAGCTGCCCAGGGAAGCTGTGAATGCTCCATCCCTGGCGGTGTTCAAGGCCAGGTTGAACAGAGCCTTGGGTGGCATGGTTTAGTGTGAGGTGTCCCTGCGCATGGCAGGGGGGTTGGAACTAGATGATCTTAGGGTCCTGTCCAACCCTAGCTATTCTATGATTCTATGATTACCAAAAGAAGGAAATCGCAAGAGATGGTGGGCACGAGCTCATAAACCAGCATTTGATTTCAGTTACTTTTGGGGCAATTGTGACCTAATAGAAATTACTTATACTGAGACAGAAGACTCATTTCAAGATGGGGATCCTGGAACAGACATAGTTGCTCAGCACATAAAAAGGAAAAAGAAAATAGCAAGCCAATATATCTTTGTTTTATTCTCACTTTTTCAAGGAACATTAAGAGTCCTTAAGGTAAAAGAAGAAAACTGAAAGTGAAGACGACCCTCTCTCATGCCATTGTAACATTTTGGCACTATCTGTATTTCATCTGTCATGTTACCACATTGGCTGTATATTATACTCCTGGCTAACTGAAACTCTGTTATTTTTTTCCAGTTCATTTTTTCCTAGAAGTTAAATATGGCAAAATACAGGTTTTACATACATAATTTTCAAATGTAAATGAGTAAATAGTGAACATGAAGTCTCAAATCCTGGTTGAAAATCTAACAGATGTGAAGCAAAATCCTTCCAAGATGTTTGTAGGTCAAAAAAGTTTCACAAATTTTCTCGAAAGATTGGTGCGGCAGTGCTGTGCTGCACAGGTCCCAGTCTCAGTTGAGGCTGTTCTCATGGCTAGTCTCACTGCCCTTGTTTACATGTGCTGTACTGCACTTTTGGGGAAACTGCACTAAAATTGATAGAGTTGCATCTATGCTGAGTGTTTTCTGGAATGGAGTTACAGGATTGGGGTCAAATGTCTTGTACCCCACATGAAACTTCAGAATAGCTGCAGCAAAACTGAAGAATGCTTATTCCAGACTTTAGTCTGGAAAAAAGTATTTACAAGTCACAGTCAACTGCAGCTTTCCAAAGCAATTCTTCTGTGGGTTTGCCCTGTTCTGTCAGCTCTGGCTTTACTTCATTTTTAAATTGGCGAAAAAAAAAATAAACAAAACCAACCAACCAGCAAAAAAGAAAACAAATCCAAACCCAAAACAGAGAAAAAACCCAAAGCAAAACAGGACAAAAGTCTTTGGAAATAACTCTCCACATAATCATCCAGGATTAGCCCATGTTGCTAGGAAGGACAGCTGTGAACTCCTTCTGAGCACCCGTGAGGAAGTTGTGCCAGTGCCTGTGGTGGAGCAGGCAGACCAGGCTGAGGGTGTGGGCTGGGAGAGGGTCAGGAACTGCTCATGGGGAGACAGTGCCCATGGACTGCTGCATCCTGCCAGTCCTCACTTCAGACTCAGCCTGCCCCTCGTCAGAGGTGGTCCTGAACTGTCTTTCCCCTCCCAGTTATGGAATAATGCTGGGCCCTTCCAGGAAGCAACTGGAGGGGAGACCAAGAAATGGGGGTGACAAGCATGCAGTTTTCACTGGCAGAATGAATTTACTTTCCTTTAGAAATCTAATGCAAAGCACAAAAAGGTGAACAAAATAAGTAAGATTGCATTTGATAGTTTCCAGTAAGGTGACTGTGCTTTTTAATATCCAAAAATCTTCCTGCTAAGGCTCATATAAGCAAGGATGACTCATTCATATCAGCGTTTCCCACATTTCAACTGACACCAGCAAATTCTGGCAAGGAGCGAGAACTTTTCAGTGCTGAGGGTTCCTGGAGGAGCAAACTCTGACAGGGAAAATGAGGACAACATTTCTTCTCAGCCAGCAGACATGCAAGTGCTACAGCCCATTCTGCAAACTGGAGGGCAGCTGCACTCCTGCCACTCCAGCACTTCTCCCACTGCAGCAGTGCACTGCCATTTGCTTTCAGATGCTATTTAAGCTCTTCATTGGTTGTGCCCTGGATGAGCTTATTTTGTCTCTGTACAACATTAAATTTGAAATCCCCAATTCACGTGAACTAGCAACTCTCTGCTTTAATTTCAGGGGAGCCTGAGTGAGAGTGAAGTGGTAAGTGATGAGTATAAGTACAGAAAAATACATGTCCTGCCTGCGTTCTCTCCATTAAGAGGTTTCAAGGTAGATTAATTTTCCAAGACCAACCTTCTTGAGCCCAACTGCTTGCAATTAGGATCCTAAGCCTAAACCTACCTACCACTTTACATTCAGCAATGAAGAATTCAATCTTCTAAGCAAATAATACAATCTGCTTTTGGAAGTGTGGAAGTAAATACAGCTAACACTCCTCTGCAGAAAATAGCTGTTAAAACATGGCAATGTATTTGCAAATTCAAAATCCACATTAAGGAGATTAAATACTGAGATTTCAAATAGTGCATCTCCCCCCTGTACACCAGTTAACCACGATGTCTACTCACTGTAACTCTTGACTGCTGACTGTATTCTTCAAGTTTATCTTGTTAGGCCAGAACCAACCAAACTTCCTCTGGGCTTAGCTGAGCTACTGTGTGTTACAGTTTGTGTTCCCAGAAAGGAAGTATCTTGACAGAGATATTTATATAAAAGAGGGAGCTTTTCTTTGGGAGGGGTGTGGGGGAAAGTGCCTCTTTGACTTCAGATATTTTAGAAATGTTTCTCTCTCTTTAAGCAGTTAATAAACTTTCTCTTCCAGTTCAAGGTGGGCTCAGCTCTGTTCTCCAGATCTGGCTTTATGAGAGCTTTTCTTGTGATTCTAATTTTGTAGCAGATAAAAATAAGCTTCTGCTGCTTGAAACAGAACTCACACTGTTGTGCTTGGGACAAGCATTATATCCTGTCACAGCTACTCACATGTATTTAAAAAAGATTTATGCTGAATTTATTAGTGGGCACTAGAAATATTTAAAGATACTAAAGCCCTTCATTTTTCCTCTTTTTTTTTTTCTTTTTTTTTCTCCTAGAAAAATAGGGCACATCTCTCTCTCCTTCCCAGTTCCTCATAGCAGGGTAACAGTCACTATTTGTGCAAACCATTACACTCATAGAAAATATCAGATGCTTTTATCACAACTTCCATTATGAGTGACTTGGTAATGGTTAACACTTAAAAAAGGGAACTCTCCCAACCATTAAGCAGTAACTCCTTCTTATTATTGTGGACAGAGTCTTGGGTGACATGGTTTAGTGTGTGGTGTCTCTGCCCATGGCAGGGGGTTTGAAACTAGATGATCTTAAGGTCCTTTCCAACCCTAACTATTCTATGATCTATATTTGATGGCCCATGGGTCTCATCCAGCAATGAAACAGTGCAGTGAACTGGGAGGCACAGAGACTGTAGAAGCATGTCTTATTTTGGAACTGCATATGTCTATCTTTGATATTCAGTTAATTCTTTCACTGCATCCTTAGCAAAACCATTGAATTTCCCACTCTTCTGAAAAGAGACTGCTTGAGAATGAGAAGGAAGGACAGGAACCGATACTGAAGGGTAAAGGATGTTAAAAAAATCCCAACAAAACAACAAGTAAAATGAGTGATGCTTTTTACAATTCTCCCTATAAGAACACTAAATTGTAAAAAATTGTTACCCTAAAAAATGGATTATATTGTCCTTGAACATGCAGATTAGATTCTTTATGAATAGTAGAACCAGGTTATAATGATCAGGCTAAAAAGAAGCCATCCTTTGCATCATAAAAACTAAGTTGCTTCCAAGTAGAAACAGTTTTATGAAAACCAGGATTAAGGTGTATTACAGAAACATTTTTATCCTATGCTGAGAGCATATTCAGTAGTTCTATTTACCCGTTCCTGGGGATTGGGCAATATCACGGAAGATTTTGGTTAGAGAAGAGACCTTAAAAATCATCCAGTTCCAACCCCCATCCTCCACTAGAGCAGGTTGCTCTAACCCCTGTCCAACTTGGCCTTGAACACTGCCAGGGATGGGGCAGCCACAGCTTCTCTGGGCAACCTGTGCCAGTGCCTCACCACCCTCACAGGGAAGAATTTTTCTTTATGTCTACCTTCAATATCCCCTCTGTCAGTTTAAAGCCATTCCCCTTTGTCCTGTCACTACATGTCCTTGTAAAATATCCCTTTCCAGATTTCTTGCAGGCCCCCTTTAGTTACTGGAAGGCTGCTGTAAGGTCGCTCATGAGATTTCTCCAGGTGAACAAACCCAACTCTCTCAGCCTGTCTTCATAGGATCTACTCTATTTCTCTTTATTCTTCCCAAGCTACTCATCCTAGCTTCCCCACTCTGTAGGCCTCCTTTTAATGCTGGAGTTTGTTTAGGAGCTCTTTGGTCATCTATGCAGGCCTCCTGGTGTTCCTCCTCAGCTCCTCTTTGTAGTCTGGGAGATCAATGCTTGAAAATAATGAATCCCCAAAATCAATGTATTCTGACAGAGGTGTAGGGCTCATTGTGAGTACCGAGGTCAATCTAGAGGCCAGATGATGTGCTCCCTCAAAGACTCCCAGGAAGTGACAAGTAAGGAGAATAAGGCTGTCACATCTCCTCCAAGTGACATTTTGGGAAGTCTGGCAGAAACTACCAGAAGGTTCTTGTCTGGCTTCCCTCATCTTTTCTCTTGTCCTGCTTCAGCTTCCACCAAGCCTGCCTTGGAACTGAACTGTCCTGAAAGACGGTAAATGCAAAAGATAGTCATTGATTATATTGTCTTTTGGCCAAAGCCAAACAGACTGACTGGGATTTTTTTCCCCCTAGAAGCATTTCCAATCTTCGTCCTTTTTTCACCTGGTGAATTGTAAAGCTGGAACTCCTGCCAGCTCTGTATCTGCTTGGTGGGCCTCTGTGGCACAATGTTTGTTCATCCCATACCCCTGTCCTCATCCTAAAGGAGCCAGGAATTCTGTTTGGTGTGACTCTGTTAGAGGATGCCAACAAGTCAGCTTCAGCAAGGCAGGACCTGTTTGCAAGCTAGGGTCTCTGCTGAGTTTACAGAATGGCCAGGGTGTGTGGAGGCTGCCATGGCTGCTGCTTCCTCTTTTGCCCAGTTTGAGAGCGTGGACAAAAACATTGATGCTTTTCCCTGTTACTCCTGTGTGGAGATGACTTTGCTTTCTCTGCTGCCTCCACACAGCATTCCTTTTCTCACTGGCAGTGTTGGTTACACAACTTAAACACCAACCAGCACTGTGCAATACTCTGCCTGCTAGTGAGAAGTAAGAGTGTCCTATATTGCACCACATTAGACCCATGGCCCCTGACAGCCCAGGATTTATTCCTTTAACTGAAGTCATGCTGGAGTGTGTGCTTCCAATTAAGTACGTGTTCAAGAGCTGTGATTTACCAGTGCTTACACTAGTGTAATCCCCTGGAAAAAAACTTGAACTCAGGTAGCCAAAAATTCTAATCATGGAGGAAAGGAGACATAAAGTTACCAGTTAGGAACATTGAAAATGAATTTTAAGACGTATGGTTTCTTTTCTTAAAACACATCTGTGTACTGCTTGTATAGCAAGGGTTTGGGAAAAAAAGCATAAAAGGAGCAGATGCTTCATTCCGGTGATGTTTCTTATTTAAAGAGAATGAGTTTCTTTCCATTTTGCATGAAACATTTCAGGGCTGCTCTTAACTTTCTGCATAAAGCATCTCCTTGTAATGGTTCCTGACATAAGCACCATGCCCAGATAGAACATGTGTTTTCCCACCTCATGACACAAAGAAATCAAACATGGTTACAAGCTGGTTAGATTTTGAACACATGCTGAACAGTCCTGAAGCTTGGTTGTTTTTTTAAAGAGATGTTAGCAGTTACAGACAAGTAATTATTTGGTGCTGGTGAAGTAGTTTCTAGATGGAAGTTTGTCAGCAAAAGGAGTTGCCGGAGTAAAAAAAAGCAAGGTTTATTTTTCGAAAAGAAAAGCTAGGTTTTTTCCTCCAGGGCTTACTCTAGTCTTCCCATATCCAGCTAACATGCATCCCACTATTGTCATTTAATAATTTGCTTTCATCTGAATGTCTTTGCAGCTTACAAAACTGTTAAATGTTTTAAGCATAAAAGCCTTTCTCCAAATCCTGCGTGCCTGGAAGTGTTCCCACTTCTATCTACTCTAATAAGAAAAGCTTTTACCTCTTGTTACTGATTTTTCTTTCTCATACCCTCAGGCCATCGCACTACAAAACCACCACTGCAAATCACAGAACTAAAGGGACCTTACATGTGTTTTCAACTGCAAACTCTACATAGAAAAAAAGCTTATATTTCAGAGAAGGATTCTGTTTGTAAAAAACAGGTCTGATTGGACAGTTCCATTACAGCCCACTGCCTGAGTTGAATTCTTTGTCTCCCAAGAAAGAATTTCGATATCCATGTAATAGTGGTTTTATGACCCCCGTACTTTGGCTCCACAGCTGCAGTGCATTGCCACTGAAATGGGCGTATTTATAATAGTGTTATAGTTCAGGTCAGAAGTGCACCTTTGGAACAGATTTTCTAGTTATTGTCCCTTGCAGTGTCTTGTTCTTCATCACCAGGCAGGCTTGGAGCGCACCACTATCATTCCTTTCGAAGGACAACATCACTCCTTTCACATGCCATCATAACGTATTTTTTTCAGCAAGCAATGGGCATCCAGTCCACAGGGCCACGCTTCTGGCAAAGAAAATCCTTCAAAATGCTCCCATGGTGGGCACCACCCCTTCAGCACAAGTTGCTCTGCTCTGAAGCCATGCCTGGGTCAGGGTGGCACTGTCTGGTGCAGGGTCTCCATTGCCCAGTGGGCTGCAGGCAGCCAAGGCAGCCCCAGCTGCCCCCACCTCCTGGCAGGCTGTGCCATAAGGGGGTCAGCAGCACAGGTCAGAACTGGTACCCAGCTCACCAGCTTCTTGCAGGTGTTCCTATCGTCCATGGGAGCTGTAACTTGGCAGCTGCCCACAAAGAGGGATTTTGCACCTCACAGAGCTAGCTCAGCTTTTGTTGCTTTTATATATTTGCCTGATGTGTGTAAAGAGCTGTTCTTCCTGTTGCTGGATCTTGTTACAGTTGTGAGCTCAGCTCCTGCCAGCACTAGTCACACCAGTTGTCCTCCCAGACGCACGCAGTGTGGGAGCTGTTTTGCAAGAGCTATGGGCTGAGCCTTTCAATAGCTATTTGTTTAATTGCTTAACCCTTTATTTAACACTGATTTATTATTTCCTCCTGAGAAGGAAATAGTCTTTAGCCTAGATAATGATGATGTTTCTTGAGCAGTAAAAGTGAGATGCTGCACCAGCTGGAAAGCCAGGCATAAATGCGCGACCTTTCTGTGAAGGTCCCAGATGGGAGGTATAACCAGGAAAAACACAGGATCCCCCAGCGTGTTTGCCAGGTGACCGCCCACCTGTAAGGGAGGTATTTCTCACCTTTCCAGGATACCACTAGGTTTGGAGATGGTCTTGCCAAGAGCCAACACCACTCACAGTAGGGATGAGACCCAGTAAGGCATTTCCTCCTCCCCTCCCCCCCAACTTTTTGTACTCACGTAACAGCCTATGCTCATTATCACTTTCTTCAGTCTTAACATCAGATTTCAGATGTCACTGTAGGATGCGATGTGCTTTCAGCATGAGTGACAGCATGAAAACTAACTTAGTGGTAGAAGGGAGTTTGTAAACATGATATTCTTCATCTGATTTATGCTGAGATATCTCAGACACGTAAGGAAAGATGTAAACTATGATACATTTTCTTTGCCAGTAGTGCCCATGTTTCACAGAGGCATGAATAAATAGACATTTTTAGAGAAGAAGTGGAAAATTCTCTATCTGAAGTAGTTTAGAGTACTCCTTCAATGCTATGCTCCCACCCTTCCTTATCATTTGATTGTGTTGTTAGCGTTGTTGTAGTGCTGAAGATTTAAAGAAGAGAAAAAAAATAAATTAATTTTGCATTTCTTCTCTCCAGTAATCCTTCAAACTGCTCTGGGTTCAGAGACAAAGTTGGTGGGATTTACAGACCAGCTTACTGGTGTAACAGCAAGAAACCAATTTAGGTTAGGTTAGCTCAGGCTAGGCTGGTTGAGCAGCAGGACAAATGGGGTGGAGATATTTGGGGTCAGAAACTCCTTTCTCAGGAAGTGCAGTGTTTTTTCTGCTTAGTGCTGCATATGGTGACGTCGTGGGGTGGGGGAAGAGGAAAGAGGAGGGGTGATCTAACAAACAGCTGCTGCAGCTGTAGAGAGGAAAAAGGAGAAAGACCAGGAGCAGCAGCAGCAGTGCGACCCCCGCAGCAGGTAATGCCTCTGCAGAGCATGCATCCCACCCTGCTCAATGCAAAAAGGAAGGGGACAGAGAAGTGGGGTGGGATGTGCCTGTGTGAGAAATGTACGTTTTGTGCTGCTGCTCTGTAAGTGTTCTGCCTCCCGAGCTCTACTGCTTGCAGTTGTCATCGGAGTGGGAAGGGGTCGAAGTTCAGACCAGTGTGACTGAAAAGGAAACCGTGTCAGTGGAAGGGCTTTTCTAGCAGAACTTTCCTGAAGGAGGAAAACCAGAAAGGAGCACTGCTCTCTGGTTTCAGTGCGAGCGTTTCTTCCTCATGTGTGGCCAGCCACTGTGGGCGCATGGAGAGGCAGCAACAGCTCTGAAGGCAGAGAAGCGCTTGGTTTATGCAGGCCTGGCTGGGACACCCTGTGAGAGGGACCTGAGTGTGGCCTTCACCCTGGCACCTTGCAGGAGACAGCTAGCCAGGGCAAGGGCTGCACTGAGCTGGGTGCCACTGCTGTCCTATCGCATTAGCTTGTGGTCCTGACCCCCTTCAGACACTGCAGGCACCCACCCTTGTGCTTACCTCAGGTGATGGCAACTACCTGAGGACCTTCATGCTAGAAGGAATAAAATGTAACAGTCACATTTATGTGATTTTTCTGCCTGTGTCAATACATCAGGCTGGCAGCTCTGGGGCTGGGATCAGTCTTCCAAGTGACACCAGCATGCCATCTGCCAGCACATCTCTATACTTCACTGGGAATATGGGGCCCTTCATAAATGCCAACAGAGTGCATACATTTCAGTAGCCCCCAGTAAATTTTAAAGAAGATGATTTCTAACATGCAACAGCTCCCATATTTTGCCAAATCATTAAGGTGAAGCTGCGTTTACAAATGTCTTCTTGCTTACGCCCTGTTTAGCTGAGATTAACCAGTTTAAGAATTGTAAAGACAAGAATTTTCCGGCTAGCCAGTGCAGGAAGAGTTAAGAAAATAAGCCCAAACCACTGAAAGACAAGTTCTGAGGGTGAGGGACCAATGTAGCAAACTAAAGTTCAGAAGAAAAGAGAAACTATATGCTCAGCTTGCATCCTGTGCAAAGCCCACATGGCAGTATCAGTCCAAAGAGAATGGTGAAGGTGCTGACTGGAAAGCCTCAAGATTTTTATAACTGCTCCTGTAACTTTCATACCCATTACAGTAATTCCTATCCATCCAGCAATAAGGCTGTTTCTTAAATCAGAACAATGTATGTTCTTATTTTTTTTGTCTTTTTGTAATGTACAGTGTCCCATGTTTTTCTTACCATAAGAGAGAACAAAGTGTCATTCAGTAATAAAGCAGACGGGATCTGGATTCCATATTTATAGAGCTCACTGGAATTTAGTGCAGTTCAGTTCTATCATACTTTTCCCAAAAGGAGTATTTATGGAATACATTCGTCTGGGTCCTCATATGTCTTATTTTCATAATACCAAAGGCTACTGCTTCCTCTTGGGAGGTAAATTATGCAAACAAATCTTTCTGTGCTTATGGAAATATTTGTCTGAATAGTGGCCATCCTGCAAGACAGGAAGAGAGGAAGAAAGGCATTTTCTATGACCTCCCTAGGATAAACTTTGATTAAAAATTTAGAAGACCAGTTTAATTTACATCAGTTTATAGAGGTGTGTATTGTTATTTATGGTTGTGGTCCAATAGTGGGAATGAAGTGTATGCATTTATCATATTTAGATGCTTCTAAACACTGTGTTTGTTAGTGCACAGATACAAATGAGACAAAATTTGATGGCAGAGATTTGATAGCACATACCCTATGAATACACTGGATCAAGGGGCAATTTAAAGAGCTTTTGTTACTTATTGGGTCAGGAAGTTAATTGCTTAAACACTGGAGATAAATTCTAGTACAAAATTCACTTCCCAAAAATGTAGGCAGTTCTTTTCATAGCTGGAGGACAGGCAAGCCTCTCTCTCTGGAATGAATCAGAAGACAGGACATTTATGAAAAATGGAAATTAAGCATCTCAGGAGCCTATGAAGTTTTGCCAAAGGTCAGATAACCTATGAAAATTAGGTTAGAAGAGCTGCAAAGATTAGTCTTCTCAAACAGGATAAGATTCACTTTATTAAATGCAACTTAAAACAGAAGCTGTGCAGAAAAACAAAGACCCTAATTTCATGTTTATGTGTAGAGCCATTTGGTTAAAAAGGGGAAAGAGACAGATATCCTCCAGAATGCATCAAATAAAAGCAGACTGAAATGTGGCTTTCTTTTCAATTTCTTCACTTACATTTTTATAAATACTTACAAATGCTGTCTGCTGGAGATGCTGCAAATTATTTGCATTGTACTTTAAGCTCTCTTGAGTGCATGCTAGAGGCATGTCTTCTGTGAGCGATAAGATTTACATCACCCAGATGGAGAAATCCCAGAGCTGGTGCCTGTGGGAGTCCAAGGCCCTCAGCAGGGTTGTTGTAGGTGCAACCACAAGCAGTCCTTTGTATCTGGTCATACTATCAAGACAGAGCCAAGCCAAGGGGCTCAGGCTTGAATCCAGCACCCAATAGAGGGTCTTTGTGCACTCAACTTTTTCCTCTGGAGGCACAGATCACCCTGATCACTGGAGGAAACTCAAGAAAATTTTTCTGGGCATCTCCTAGGTATAACAACAAAGGGAGCCTTTGATCCACTTGGGAGAATACTGTTTTGTGGCCACGGCCAGACACAGTCAGTTTTCACTGATCTGTTTATATTTCAGCTGTTTTCCTTTGATTTACTTGCATGTCCAAAGAGGGTGCATTTCTACATGTCAGAAAGTTTGAACACTGTAGTAAGTCATACAGTTTGCTGTACCATTTTCACCTCCACAGCTTTACCATGAACACCTACCTCTTCATGTATGACTTGATGCAATTCTGTGGACATTCCTGGATATTTACAAATATGATCATCAGGTTCATGTCATTTGGAAAAGGTAGGATTCCTTCTTTGTTTTCCTTAAACATTTCAGAAGGCAGTAACAGACAGTGACACCAAATTAGACATAAACTTAGGATTCTGGATAGGTGTATGCCCAATACTGGGGCTAAAATTTCAATTAGAAACACATTGTTTCTTCCATAAAAAGGATGAAGAAATTTCTCGTACCTACATTCTGCTTGTATGACATTTGGAATGAAGTTCTTGTTTTCCTAATGAGCTTTAATATTCAGCAGCATCCTAGTAACATTTGACTTAGACCTAAATGTGAGTAGGTTCAGTCATTAGGGTGAATATTAATCTTACTGAAGCCACTAGGAGGGAATATCTTTGTAGATATTGCATATCACTATCTCCAATTCTCTTTCTGTTGCATGGGGTTAAGGCACAAAACCAGAAACCTAGAGACTAGAAATTTAAGATGATTTATAATCATGGACAGTAGGCACATAAAATACCTGCTTTGTGGTCTGCCTCTTTTTGGAAGATGCACAGATATAGGCAGGAATTCAACATCTCCTCATTGTTTAAACATTCCTCATACATTTCCTCAATACTTCCTCATATTTAGAAATATCCTAAACTGATATCCCTAAACCAACACATCCTGCACAGTGTCTGCCAATGCATCAAGTGTAGGGGGTCCTCTTCTTTTCTCAGCTTCCTGCCTCTGTATCAGTCATACACAGAGAGTGGGCTGCCTCCTCCCCTCCATGAAGCTTTGTGTCTGTTACCCAAATGTTTAGTACTGTGTGAGCTTTATTTCTTGTCATCTCCAGTGGTGATAGGGCAGAAGCAGACTCTAGCTGGTTCAGACTTTTACTATATAACCAACCTCTAATTTTCCTCTTCACTTTGTAGATTCACTGGCAGACACCTTTTACTCCATAGGACTTGTGATGCGCCTTTGCCAGTTGTTATCTGTATTGGAGATCCTACACATCCTCATTGGCATTGATAAAAGCCGTCTCTTCCCCAGGGCTTTGCAGGTATGTTGGTTTCTCAAGACCCTCCTTCCGCAACCTACACACTTGAGACATGGCGGCCCCTGGGGACATGCCCTTACTACCCTGAGGGGTCCACGTGCACCCTTCCTTAAGGACCTTGGTCTGCTGGTGGTTTCTTAACTGCAGGAAATGAGCCCTCAGAAGTGAGTTGGGAAAGAGCTACTTTCAAATGAAACTGAGCAGTGAGTGCCCCACGCCCAGCCCACAACAGCAGGGACCTGAGGAGAGGCCACCTGCAGAAAAGGGGCAGACCCCATTTCTGCCATAGGTGGCTGAGGATACTACCTCCCCAGGCAGCCTGTTTACAGCCAGAAGACAACATTTCAGAGCCGAAGTTTCGGTAGCTAATTCTTTTCCATGCCATTTACTCTCTGACAAGTGTGTATTTATTTTGAAGACAAGCCCAATACACGATTTTGTGGCGTAGCAAAGGGATGGCACTTGAGAAAATGACCAGCACAGCAAGCTTCCTGAAACAGGGTTTGCTGGCAGACATGAAGTGTGAAAGGATTGATAGAGAAATTAAAGGACTGAATAAGAACTAATTTTAGGAAGGGAAAGAGGAGAACTGTTGTATTCTTGCTGTAAGGGTCTCTACCCTCTCAAACCCAGATATGGGCAAATTGTGGTAACATCCAGAGGTTCCGATGCTGTTAAGGGTTTTAAGTTCAGCTGTAGGCAGAAAAGCAGCCAAAAAGTCAGAAAACAAGATGATTCTCGGACAACTACCTTATCACATTTTGTTTTCTGTTGGGACTTTATCTCAGGTTTTGGTAATTTTTAATGCATTGGAAAAAGTAAAAATGTCAACTTGAGTTTACCTTCAAACCTTTCCACTCCTTAGTATTTGAATAATGGTGAAACTGGTATTGCTCTCAGCAGTCAGAAGGTAGAAAGACTAAGAGTACTTAGTTATGGTTTTAGTTTTCTGGATAGCCCATTTTTGTCAAATGACATATTGGATGGGTGAAGATGTTCCTCTTTTTAAATCTCCATTAGAAACTGACTAATACAGATCTCTGATCTTTATGCTGCTCACTAAGTAGAGTAGCAAATTTGTCAAAATGCAATCAACTATTTTTCCCTCCCTAAATCTACATGCTTTTACACTAATTGGTGGCGACGGGGACGGGGACGGGGAGTGTGTGTGTGTGGGAGGGGTATCCTACTGAATGTGCCTTGTAACAAATCTCACATCATCTCTTGCAGAGAAGAGCAGCTTCCTAACGCCAACAGATAGTCACTAAAGCAAGGCTTGTCCTGGCAGAGGTTACACATTCCTCAACTCTTGCACAGTCCATTCCTTTCCTACCCAGCCCAACAAAAAAGGTCAGGGAAGCCTACACAAAACCTGCTCTGTGCTGCCACAAAAGACACTAGATCTGAAATGGATGTTTCTGAGCAAGAAAACTGTGACCTTTTTTGGCCAGTGCAGTTACTGCAGTGCTCTCCAGGGCAGCATGAAGAAGGTGGGTCAGGGAGCAATATGGCACAGTGACTCCAAACATTTGTCTCACAACGATAGATTTGGATCCTTACATGGTTCTTTTCCCAAGTGTTCCTTCACAGCAAACACGACTCTCTTACATTCATGTTAGCAGTAGTCTTGTGCTGCCCAAGCTAGGTACAAGCTCTTTGGTGTAGACTCTGTTTCCACTTGTGTCGCCCTGCTTTTGCTGTGGGAGTACAGGTTAAGCAGCTGCGTGCCAGCAGTACTCCCATGTGCCTTGCCACGCTTTCCTCCCTGCCTCTTAGGAAAAAAGGAGATACATGTTCCACAATGAACTGGGGAAAGACAGAGATGCTTATTTCATTGGAGCCTATGGGCTATTGCATGTAGTCAGGGTGCTGGTAAAGCCGCAAGAATTTGATAGTGGCTACCCTCTTCTGTGTTCCCAGCACCTGTTCTGACTCTAAGCTTAAAACATATCCGTAGATGCATCCTTCAGGCCATGCACACACATGCATATCCACAATGAAGTTCATCTCAGGATCTCTAGGGTGAGAGAACTGGTGGCTCTGGCTGCGTCAAGGAAGCACATGGATAGAAATAAGGCCACCTTGAACAAAACAAGCTGTGAAAGCACTGCTGTGGTGGCCAGCTGTTTTGTGGGCATTACAGCAAAGACAAGATTTAAGTATTCTGAATGAAGGATTTCTGCCTAATAACCTATTCGTCATGATTTAGTAGCATTTACAAGAAACACTGTGAGATACATGTTACAGACAGTGGAAAAGTAAACTCCAGAGGCGTTCTCTAGAAAAACCCATTCAGCATGGCCTCATTGAAGGACAAAGCCTCAGGTCAGGAGGGTTAGGCAGGCCAAGGAAAAGTCACACCAAGAAAGAAAGATGAGTCCTGTGTGATGGTGCTCTGGAGGAAGGGGAAGCAAGGGAGGGTCACAGAGCTAGTGCAAAGGGATTTCCCTCCGGGCATTTCCAGCTTGAATGAGAGGAGGACAGGAGAACGTGTCACATGTCAGCACTTTTCTTAAACATTCACTAAATCAAAGAGTTGTGTAGTGGTTTCAGGCACCGGGTTCGACACTGCACTGTCATGGTTATTAAAAACCCAAAGTGCATGTGCTGCCTGCTTCTGCCCTAACTTCAGTTAAGCTGATTTGCTCTGTTTCACTTGCTTGAAATGCCCAGGCTGCCTTGCAAAAATTTATGTCACTCTAGAGAACTGTCTGTATCCTTTGAGAAACCAGTGCTGGGAGAGGAAGGAAATTCCAGTTTGCCTTTAACAAAAGAACAAGAAGGAATGAGAAATGAAACCACTGTATTTACACTTTGTGAGGTGTCAGCACATACTTCCTTTTTATGAACATAAAAACACAGGACTTCTAGTTTTGTGTGGGTTTTTTTCTTTTTTTTTTTTTTTAAGCAAGAGAGTATCAGCAGAGAATATTGTATTTTCATTCATGCAAGAACAGATGATCCATAGAAGAAATGAGCTGTGACTGATTTCATGCTTTTTTTCATATATACGCTTTTCTTATATCTATGTATGTGTGTATACACACATGTATACATATTCATACACATATATATGTGTGTATATTGATATGTGTACATGACTCCATATGTGTATATAGATACATGTGTATATGTGTGCAATATCAACAGCCATTTACTGGAATTCCCTCAAGTAGCACCCTGCCTTGTCACTTGCTGAAAAAGTCCCCAGCCTATGTCTAACCCCTGCATCTACCTTGGGTTTGTGTGGGTTACCTGAAGATGTGAGTGCTATGAGCACAATGTCTCGAAGGGGAATAAAGGCATGCAAGCAAGCAGGCAACAGAAGAGGTAGGATGCTACTGTCTGTCCTCCTGAGGACATTACAATTGGCCTGAGGAGCCAGTATGTGTCCTGCCCTGCAGGTGTGCTCCAGGCAAGACCACAGGCAGTTTTCGGGTCCAGTTCCCTACTCTTGCAGGTGCTTAACCTACTTTACACAATCAGTAATCAGACTTCCATCATCTGCAACTAGTGGGGCTGAGTGCTCCACTCAAACATGAACCTTTGATGGAGGAAATCTGCTGAACCCCAGCTAGGTGATACTCACTGCCCCTTGTGCATCTGCTTATGCCCTGGGAAGAGAAAGAAATCCACAGCCACTCCATGAGGCTTAATTATGGGTCTCCATAGCCACTCTGTGGCTTTTGAAATGTGGGACAGTAGCCACTGATCTACTGCTTATCCTTTTATTTCACTGAAATGGGATCAGCTCTTGATCACATGGCCCATGCTGCTTTCTAGCACTTTTCCACCCAGCCACCTCTTGAAGAGCAAGTGGCTGCTTGGAAAATCTGCCTGCCAGCTCTCATATCTGAAAACACATTTTCATTATCATGGTGAAGCTTTGGTCTCTAAGTGAGACAACTCCCTGAAATATCTCTTAATAACTATATTGCAGAACTCTCTCTCCACATCCCAGCCTGATTTCAGGGTTGGTAACAAAATGCCCACGACCACCAATGCTGCACTCCTTTAACACCCTTCACCAAAATGATTTTAATTCAGGTTCTATTTTCTACATTCTCTCCACACAATCCCACTCAATGCTCATACTGTTTTCCCCTTTGTTTTGATTTCCCTCTTGTGATGATTGTCCCACCATACTTCTAAGTTGGTTTCAGATCCTGCATCAACACTTACAGTTCTCCCAGTTTCGTCCCAAGTTCCTTGGCATCAGCGTACAAATACAGGACTTGGTACCTCTCACTCTCCATTTCCTGGCCTGTCTACACAGAAGCCTCTCAACATCTGACCTTCTTAGAAATCAGTTCCTCAGTTAGGGACCAATGGGATCAGCAACACAAGAGGACAGTCAGGGCAGGGTGAGAGACAGCAAAACCATTTTTATCTGTTGTGGCCTTTCAGTGCCTTTCAAGATGAGGAACTAGATCCCCAGGGATGGAAAATTGCTCTCACGTAATTTTGCTGAATAGTGAAGTGATGATTGCTTTATCTGACAGATGTGGCCTGAAAAAAAAAAAAGTAATAAAAGAAATCTCTAGCCACAGTATTCCGCGCAGGAACTGGTAAAAATTACGTAGCAAAACTGTTTAAGGTAGGACTAAGAGGAAGGGGAAAACCAGTGAAGGAGAATGGCTGAGCTGATAAAATCCACCTTGGCAATCTGTTTTCATTTCACAACCTTTCACTGACTTGACATCTTAACCCATAAAATCATTAAACCTAAGGTATGTTATGGAAGAGATACCAGTGTACAAAATCCCAAACCAAAACAATGAAGCTATACCGGTTCATACCAACTGAAGAGATGCATGTTTCTGTCTTCTTCCAGCACTTTCAAATAGAGTGTAAATTAGAGTGAACTGGTACTCTTCTGGGAGAGTTTCACAAACAACTCTTGGCAGTACTGAACACTACAGATGTATTTATTTTACAGGGCAGGGCTTAGAAAACTTGTCCAGGAAGGACAAACTTGTTTTTAATTTCTTGAGCTCTAATATTGCCAAAGTATTTTTGGTTTTAAGCTGAAGATACTGTGTGTTTAATCCACTCTTACATCTTCTGATTTGTAGAGGCATAGCTTGTGGGTCAGGCTAAGTTCAACCACTAGAAAAGTATTATGACTAATATTATGGCAATAATTCACATAAACTATAAACTTAAACCCACTTCTCCTAGCCAGGAACATGAAGGAAAGAAAAATAAGGAATTCCTTCTCCTTTCTGCAAATCTTACATGAGAGAGACACATTGGGTTGCAGATCTTGAAGCTGTGGCAAGCAGAGATGGGACTGTGAGATTAGCATTGTCTGGCATTCTATGCACCCAAGGGCCCTCTGTATCCCACACCCTCCCATGCAGCCTACAAGGAAGCTTACTTCCATGTGGGGGCAAGTTTCTTTGCTTGTAGGCTGCAGTCCTTGCTCCCATAACCTTAGCCAGCTCATCCACAGGTTTTCTGGGCTACAAACCCAAGTCATCCCTATTGGCAAGCAAACCTCCACCCTTACCATAGCGGACCTATGATACTGCAGCCAACAGTTTCCAGTTGCCTGAGCTGCAGGGCAACAGGGTCTGGAACAAAAGCAGGCCAAGAAGCAAAGTCATCCCTGACGCATTTGTGGAAAGAAAACTGGATTCAACCTGTGCCCTACTATTCAATGAGAGCTACAAAAGGTGCCACCTGAATTCACAATTCTTTCTTTCTTTTCAGATCACAGAGAGAATAATTGTTTTATTTGTTGTGATCAACAGTCAGGACGAAGTTCAAGGGAAGTACATTGTGTGCGTTTTATTTTTTCTTTGGAATGCATTAGATGTGGTCAGGTAAGAAGTAAATGGCAAAGCCATGAGATAAAAATGGGTCATTCTTGTGAGCAGAACCTCACCTCCACTGTGCTGCAGGCTCAGTTCATTATTTCAAAACTGGGAGAAAGGCATATTATCTATTTTAAATAAAGGCTATTTACTGATATTTACAAAAATCCACATACCTGAGAGGCAGAGCAACTTACAGAAGTAAGTCTTACTTACAGGCTTCCATTGCATTAATATGTGTAGCTCAAAGGCTTTGATCTTTTTAACAGAAATTCAGAAGGAAGTCACAACTGCCACCCAGGGAACAGCAATTTCCAAAATAATTTACAAATCTAACACATTTATTATTTATTTGCTTTTTTAACACCTCACTTGGATCCAAGATTGCTAGCTCAGGCAGCAGCAGCAGAACTTCTTACCAAGACAGAGACTATTCTGGCTTATTTGCACTGTGCTGTACAAAAAGTCAAGAGCTCCTGCTGCAGAGACCGAGTATTTTGGTGTAGTAAGGCACACATCACACCGCAGGGACACAAACACAAATACAATTCAGGACTTTTATCTCAAAAATTTTGTATGGTGAAAATTCTGCATTACTGACTCTTGCATCAATATCTGAAGTCAGAAACATTTCTCAAGTGTAACTTAAGCTCTACTGCCCTCACTTTGTAAACTCACAGCAGGGAAGACATACGGAATTAAGAAACATTTTAACAAGACACAGCCCTCATGGTAACTTCTGTAATTTCTTTTTTCTTTATCTTCTTTCTTTCTGCTCAAATAGTAGTTTCTGCTATTTTACATACATTGCTTTGGGGAGAGAATGGGGACTATGGATTCAGGCAGCTTAGGAAGTATATGACAGATCTGAAAAAGGAAAATGTCAGGATTAATAAGAAAGGCTTTACATCAACTTCAAAGTGTAGGTACTATATGTGTTAAGAAACCACTACTTATATTAATTATTTGGATTATTGCTCCATCCTATTTCTTTTTTGAGTTTGTAAAGCTGAAAGAGCAGAACTCAACTGAAAGCTTTCTGTGCAGCTGGAGAGAGTCCAAAAGCATAAACATGACTGGCTGTAAAGTCCTCTCAGAATAGTCCTATTGCATCCAATGCACCACTATTTTCTATCTTTGTTGAAGTACACAGTCCGGAATCATGGCAATAACACCAGCCATTTAATAAGCAAGATACTGTGGTCTGCAGTGGCAAATGCCCACTGCAAATACATGGTACAACTCACACAAATTTAGAATTCTTACCTGATTTATTTTACAATATCTGTGCCATGTCCTAGCATCAATAAGGGGTAGTCATGTCTTAAAACATACAGGAATTCATCCCAACTGTTAGCCAACTAGTTTTGAAGTATTACAAGTTCCTCCACATAATACGCTGTGCATTACGGCTAATGATATAGTGAGAGCAAATTCTGCAAGGTTTTCTCTATCTGATCTTTCCTGCTTATACCAAAAGCAGCTGAAGAATGTGTATTGAGAGGAAGTAGCTGTATCCCTTTTGCCCTGGGTTGAGATTATGCCTCAAAAGCAGTAATAAAAAACTGAGGCACTCCTGAGGTTGCAGAGGGCAAACTTGAGAGTAGATGGTACATTTATAGCCCATCAAACTCCTCTCAGTCCAGGTATGATGCAGAATTATACAAATGAATTAGTAAAAAGGGAATACAGAGTGTTTTGTTTAATGCTGGTTCCATCTGCTAGAAACACTCCTGGCTAACAGTGGCTTAAAAATTCTTATTTCCACCTCTCTAGCAAGACCACAGGCCAAAAGCCTTTTAGCTGACCAAAAATGTGATCAGACCTCCACTGCTCCAGTGTTTGGAAAGCTGCTGCACCAGTTTTAGATCAAACAAGTTAGCATTAGCTCACCTTGTAGAGTGAAGTCCTAGGCATTCTGGCTTCCCAGTGAACAACAGTAACAGCAGAGTAAAACACTGCAATACACTGAAGTACGGTTGCTTTCTTTTGCACCTACTAACCGTTCTGAGGTCCAAGGGAGGGGCAGCCATACCACAGAACATTAAGTACCTGCGATTACATTTACTGTTTAGCCTTCTTCAGCCGTGCTTTACGTAGTTCAGCAGTCATAAATCAGCATATTCTCAGTCCCAAGCAACAGCTGTATTCTGCGTGCCCCTCTCAGTTGTAATATTCCTATCTGAAATCCATTTTTCTGATGGACCAATATAAAATGACACTGGTTTCTGACAGAACCTTCCAGCTAGCAGGCTGTTTTTCTGTCTACCTGCTAGCACCACAGACAAACCCTTCTGAAACAATGAACCATCTACTTCCAGCCATCAGTTAGAGCCGGAACAGAATTGTTGCAGTATTGCTCAGAAATGCTCTCAGATCAGCAGCTCAGATTCTGCAATTCCCCGGGATTGTTCAATACTGTATCTTTATTTTAAAGACACAATCATTCCCTCTAAACTCATCTGCTGTTCCTCTTGCATCAGGTACACTTACAACATGCTAGCAAGGATGGGAATATACTACCTACCACTGACATGGCTCAACTTCTCACTGTGCATCCTGCTCTATCCTCTTTCAGTTCTGGCTAAAGGTAAGGAGATCGGAAAGGTACCAACAGTTTGCTTCCTTAATTTTCTTCAATAAAATATGATCAGTTCAATTGTTATTTGTGCTTAAGATACTTTTTTATTTTTTATTGCCAAAGTAGGCATAAATGTTTATATACTCTCAACCTGTATGTCACCTATCTTGCTCTTTTCTGTACTTCTTTAACAGGGGCTTGTATGTCTTTGTTTTGTTTTGCTTTTTCTTTCAACAAAATGGGAGAACATTAGTTTCTCTGGTACCCCCAGAAAAGAAACATGGATTCCCCTATTCCACACTGACCGTGTTAGCCAGCAAGTCCCAAAACTGCCTTTTCTCTCACTGAGTTTGACCTTACTGGCACAGGCCATACTTTATATATATGGGACTGAGAAGATGCTGATTTATGACTGCTGAACTACTTAAAGCAGCTTATGCTTACAACAGGAAACTTGCCCACTGAGATCATACTGAAAGATCATACTCTGTGCAACCACAGGACTGACAGAATTGTTATGGCATAGGAAATACTTGATGATTTTAGTATTAAGAGCAGTCAGAACCTCAGACCTACAAAACTGAACTTAAAGAGAAAACAAGTGTATGCATACAAATGGCATGGTAACTTTGGCATGTAATATAGCTAGCTATGCCTTAAAGGTAACTAACTTTTACATGAAACTTTCTGATGATCTTCCATCTCCTTCTGACTAAATATTTACCATATTATTTTACAGCATTTGCAATTTGTGTATCACTGCCTTATTTTGAATCCTTTGGCACATACTCCATCAAGCTACTATTTCCATTTGCCTTCTCAATCTACTTTCCCTATATTCTGAAAGCATATCTGCTAGTGCTCTTTATAGGTAAGTATCTCATCTTCCAGAAAGCTGTGTCTCAACATAACTTGGATGCCTATGGCAGCAACAAAAAAAAAAAAAAAAAAAAAAAATCAAATCAGTAAAGATTCTTTCACAAACACTAACTCTGCCACATCTCCTGAATACCACTACAGGAAGGCTCATCACTAAGTGTTTTGATTTCTGATGTCATAAAAATACAAAACAAAAATATAAAAATTGCCTTTTGTTATATCAATTCCCATTTGATCATACCTTCAATCTGGGCAACCCCTCCTCACTCATTCCTATGAGAAGTGATACCTAAATGAAGACTTCTACAGCTTGCTTATTGAAAGTGGTGAAAAAAGAGCCACCCTAAAACCTGCATGTAAATAGACCTCTCCTCAACAAACTGCTTTTGAAAATTTTGAACTGAATTTGGCTGCATTACAGCCATGTCTTCATTCTGTCATTGGCTTTAAGACCAATTTGAAGGATCTTGTCTTTGTGAATCACTGCTCTCTGTTCCTAAATTCATTTAAGGAACTATGCAAGTTGCCAGATGAAGGCTTATACTGTTCCTCCTGCATTAATTGAAGACACTTTGGACTCTACTCCCTAGTTCTTACAATGTTTTGTGTTTTGATTCAGGTATGTGCTTTATCATCCAGAACCTCTTCTCTGAAAGGAAGGCACACCTAGGGACAGGCAACATCAAAAAGAAAAGAAGCTAAGTTGATCTATTGTTTGGAAATAAGAAGTATATTCCCAGTGGGCTGCTGTGTATCACAGATTAAGAAGAAGTTAGGCAAAGATTTCAGATGCAAAACTCCTGTCTGCATGTTCATCAACTTGTTACTGAACAAGCATAGAATTTTCAGAAAAGGCATCTCGCTTTAAGGCACCTCAGAAATGGAACATCTCAAAATAACGAGTTATTTTTTACAGTTTGGTTTCAAATGGAGGAAATGCTTTTGAATGGATATATAAAACGAATATATTTTTTCTAACGTATCAGAGAACTCTGAAAAAGACTAAAGAGCATCTCCACTCACAATCACACTAACAACCCCAACGCTGGTGTTAGCTCTTGCCTCGTTAGCAACAGATATTCTGTAATGACAATACCATTTAATCTGTAAGATTATTTTATATTCAGTCAACATGTATGTGCCCTATAAATATATATATAAATGCTAAATTAGCTAGAACTGGAATCTCTCAAGGAGCCGAAGCTGGAAACTTTGCAACCTATGCAATTCACATGCTAAATAGTCCCAGGCATTCACAAAGTATCCCTCACATTCCGGCCCAACCTTCACTTCTGCAAACAAGATTACAGAAAATCCAGCTAAACCACAAAGGCAAGTGATCAGGTACTCATGTACCATATATTCTAGGGGATATTTAAGGCTCAGAACTAAAAACCTGTAACTGTGTGTCTAGCAGACATTAGGAATCTCTTTCCCACACTGATTTTCTCCCATGCTGAACAGCAGACAGGTATGCAAAAGAAATGTGATGTTAGGCCAAATACATGTTATTTAAGGAGAAGTGAATGACTACCAGAAGCCAAATGCAAAATTCTAATCATTTTACTCAAGTGCATTGCTCCTCATACTTCTGTAGGACTATCTGTGAGAATGCAACTAGAACACAGTCTCTTCAAAGGTTGAGGAGTAAGGAATATGGACAGCAACCAAGTGGACTGGCAAAAATGGACGAATAATTGCTTTGAGGCTAGCAGTGGCTTTCCTGATGTTTCATCCATATTGATTATCACCTACATTTGAATTCAAGCAGGTGAGGGAGAAAAGTGAATTTTTATTTTTTTTTTCAAGCATGACTGAAAACTGGGGGGAGAGAAAAGACTATCGTTGGAGGGAAGGAAATATTTGAGGGGAAGTGAACACTACCACAATATGAAGAAAGTTTGCGTATATGTCTTTCGAAACCATACAGCCTAAGAGGGCATATTAGGAAGGAGTGAAGCTGAACTAGTTTCTTACGAAAGGTCACCTATAATTTTTATTTATTTATTTAATATATGTGGCAGGCAATGCATTCAGACTGTTCTGACCAATGGAGTATTTGCAGACCTTATGCAACAGTAGAGGGTAAACCCTAGGTTTTCATTTTTTTTTTTCCTGGAAAGCATTACAAACAGATGTAGGACTTAGGAACTCATTAGAGAAACAGAAGTACTTCCACTTTGGACTTCTGTGTGACTGAAACTGATTTAAGTGTGGGCTATATGAAGAAACATACAGAGCAGCTGCACTTCAAATTATATAACACGTAAAGGCCATTTTTCCCCTTGGAAATTTAATCTAATGTGTTTACCATCAAACTGCCTGGAGTTAACATACCTTCTTAGAGGAAACATGGCATTTGCTAGTGTATTGGGTCTATGTGGCAAGGCTTTAGCAGTGGGGAAGCTGCAGTGAGAGTCTCGGTGAGAAGCCAAGGGCTTCACCCATGCCAGACATAGCTAGTTCCAGCTAGCTCCAAAACAGAGCAACTACGGGACACTGCCAAGAGAAACTGCAGAGCTGATGGCAGCTCTGTGAAAACATACTTCATAAAAGGTAAAAAAAAAAATGCTATGTGCAGCTGTGAGACAGAAGAGTAAGGAAACCGTGAGACACCATAGTCAGTGGGGAAAGAGAAGAGGTGGTGCTCCAGGCACTGCAGTACATGCCCCTGCAGTCCACGGAGAAGACCGAGATGGAGCAGATGGGAACCCTGTGCTGCAGGAGGTGGATGTGCCCTGAAGGAAGCTGCAGCATGGAGAGGCTGAACAGGAGCAAGTTCCTGGCAGGAACAGTTCAGAGCTGCAACCTGTGAGAAGAAATTATGTTGGGGCAGGTCATGAAAAACCGTATACCATGGGAAGGACCCCACGGTATACATGGGGTCCCTCCCATGGGGAGGGACATCCCCTGGGGCAGGAGAGCAACATAAAGAGGAATGAGCAGCAGAGATGAAGGTTTATGAACTGATTGTAATCCACATCCCCTACCCACCCTGCACTGCCTGGGGACGTAAGAGGTAGAAGAGTCAGGAATGAAGGAGTAAAGTTGAGCCTAGGAAGAAGAGATCGGTGGAAGGAAGTTGTTTTCAGTTTCATTTTTGTTTCTTACCATCCTACTCTACTTTGAATTGGCAATAAATTACTCTTCCTCAAGTAGAGTCCAGTTTTGTGAGAGTAAATGGTAAATAATCTCCCTGTCTTTATCATGACCCATAGCTACCTCATCCTATCTTCTCCCTGTCCTGTTGAGGAGGCAGAGAGAGGACCTGAATGGGAATCTGGCACCCATCCAAGGTCAAATGTACCACAGATATTTGTATTAAGCCATATTTATGCATTTATGTTAAAAAAAAATATGTCAGTATGTGGTGCTCCCCCTGTGCACTGATTCTCACAACTGGCTGAAACACTGGAAGGAGAGATATTCACTATGGGGAGGACCCCCAAACCTAAACTGCAGGCAAACGGCATGAAGTTAGGGACAGAAGACTTTCCCACTCCCTCCTGGTGCAGAGGTAACTTGCAGCAGGCAATTGGGAGATCTAGGGAATCAGCCTTCCATGTGTGACCACAGCAGGCTACTAACTACAGGTCCTACACCTTATCTTAGTTTTTGGAAAAAGCTCAGGATTGGACAGGAAAAAGTGTGCTTAAGAAGTTGCCTGAGTCTTTCCACCTTTGGGAAGTTAAATCTTTATTAAAATTTCTATGAGTCTTGAGAACCCAGATCATCTCCATTTAGATCTTCTGATATTGGAATCAAAATAACTGTTGTTCTTACATATCTACATAAACATAGGCAAAAGTATGTACGTACCGTATAGACAAGGATGAAGAAACATCACTAAGAAAGCGATATATATAATTGAAAGTGGTTAGACAATCTCTTTAGGAGCAACTTACGTAGTCAGAAGAGTATTTGACTACATTTGTCTGAAATTTAAAACCCCACTAGTTTTAGTAGAGCTTATGTACGATGAGACTGAATTCATAAAATACACATATGAAACACATACAGTGTGGAAAAGAACTACACCTAACTGCTAAGGATAGAAAAAAAAAAAAAATTCCTTTTGTTTGCCCACAGAACAGCTATGCTGGAATCACAAGAATGTGTCCTACAAGTATCTTCACCACCAGCTTTCCTTTGCTGCCTTTCCACTCATCTACAATGCAGTAGCAACTAACTTGCCCTCTTCAGTCCTTGAACTGTCTCCAGAGCAACATACTATTCTAAAAGATCACCTAGAAATAAGTCTTACTTGTTTGTCCAGCACTAGCACACAATAGAAGGAATACTCTCTCCATCACAGTTTATCTGTATACTTGCAGGTACAGCAGCCCAATAGAAACGGAACTGTAGGGTGAAACAATTTACAATGAGGACCCAACAGCCAACTTATCTGCCTTTTAGAGGTTTTTACCTCTAGTTTATTCCTATGGGCTGAATGCACAGAGCTGTAGAGTATACTAGAATATCTAGTACAGAATAGTTCCATTTGGAAGGGACATACAACAATCTCCTTTGCATTCCATCCCCCTCATCCTCACCAGAGGCTCCCAACCACATTACCCATAATTGTAAGGGCTGTACAGCCAAAGCTCTCCCTTACAGACAGCGCAACCCCTCCACCTTGCCTGCCCTGCTCATCCCTGCTGAACAGCTGCAGCCCTGATCTCAGCACTCCAGTCATAGGACTCATCCCACCAAGTCTCACCAGTGACACCACAGCTCTGGGAACTGACCAGCACTTCCAGTTCATGCTGTTTGTCATACTTTGTGCATTGGTGTACAAGCATTTCAGTTACACTCCTAAACCACAGTGCTCCCTGGATCTGCGTGAGCATTGCCACCTTCTGGTAGTGCTATGACGTCTCTTGGCCTACCATCTGTAAGCCAAGATATGTAATACCTACTGTGTATCAGTATAGTTTAATTCGGAGGTTTATATACTGTTCTGCTATGCAAACTAAAACACAGCATGTGTGCATTACCCAGAGATAATCTTTAAAATAAGGCAAATTTTAAAGTGAATTAAAAGGCTAACACGCATGCAAACTCAGGTGAGTAATGGTGTAACTTAGCCTGAAACTGCACCAGAGATTAAGAAAGCCAAATATGTCACATTTTCATTGTGCAGAGGCTACTTAGGAGTGAACACAAATGTAAATGTCATGAGACACTGACTCTGTGACAACTGCTTGTAAGTCAATCCTTCTGTATATTCACCTTTAGACTTGTCTTCTCAGTATATAGCTGCATACAGAGCAGTAAATTATCATTACTATACACTAATTTGGGAATACAAGTAAGTACTGTGTTAATCCTCCACACATCTAATGTCTGAAGAAATGTCTGATTACTGTGGTAATCTCATTGCCATAGAATCACAGAATCATAGAATAGTTAGGGTCGGAAAGGACCTTAAGATCAGCAAGTTCCAACCCCCCTGCCATGGGCAGGGACACCTCACACTAAACCATGCCACCCAAGGCTCTGTTCAACCTGGCCTTGAACACCGCCAGAGATGGAGCATTCACAACCTCCCTGGGCAGCTCATTCCAGTGCCTCACCACACTCACAGTGAAGAATTTCCTCCTTATATCCAATCTAAACTTCCCCTGTTTAAGTTTTAACCCATTACCCCTTGTCCTCTCACTACAGTCTCTAATGAAGAGTCCCTCCCCAGCATCCCTATAGGCTCCCTTCAGATACTCGAAGGCTGCTATGAGGCCATCCCACAGTAAACTTCTTAAGAGTGGTGAGAAAAGGTGAGAAAACCCCATAAAGAAGTCAGATGAGAATTTCTTCCACAGAATATGTTATCCATCCTGAAATTAAGAGAATTCCTTCATTGGGTGGTGACTCCAGATTGTAGGGTGGTAACGTTTCATGCAAACTGGTCAAAATCAACAATACTCTCATTAGTATTGCTTTGGAAGACATTCAGTGACCAGTACCCAGGCAATTATATTCAGTTAATTTTTGTCTACACTAGTGAGGATTACTAAATACAAAACCACTTTTAAGGTCTGTCTTAGGAAGACTGCAAAGTAGAAAGTTTCTCTATTCCTTCATAAAGAGAAAATTTTTTAATAAGGAAAGTGTCAGGGGCTACCCTGCTTAAGCTGACAAAGGCTGAAAAACGTTGCTATACTGTCACTTTTGCCTAGAGGCAGAGAAAAGCTCTCCTTATGTGCAAATGAGAATAAACGAGACAAGAACAGTCATAAGTGGAAAGAAAACTGCAGCTGCCCTGGAGCAGCCATTAGAATCATTGATTTATTTCCATTATCTTGTTTTGTTTCAATGATCTTGATACAGCTGTTGCAAAATGGACAAGCATATCACCCATTTCATAAACCACACTCAGGTTATATAACTTCAGTGTGCTGAAAAGTGTTCAATGTATCTTCTCGCACTACTGTGCAAGAGCATCATGATGTAACTAAAAAAAGGGTTATCACTTAAAAAATAATGCTAATTCAGAAGTCTGTTACACTAAAACATACTTCAGTCATTAGGCTGAATCCAAACTTTTAATTTTTTTCAGTCATTCTTATTAACAAGCTTCCATGAGTTTTTCAGAATGCAACTTCTGAGGCTCCCCAGGTGTCACCGAAACAATACAACTGAAACAACTGAATGCATATTTCTCATTCAGCTTCAGCACAGCGCAAACCACGCTAAGTAGTCTGTACAAGACGACCACCCCACCAGTGAAAAAAACAAGTACTGTTTTTTATCTTGCGAGTCTTCAAAAGAAGGTAAAATAATTAAACCAAACCAAACCAACCAAAAAACCAACCAACCAACCAACCAACCAAACCCCCACTCCAAAAAACAAGAAAAAAAAAAAGCAACAAAAAAACACCCCCACAAAGCCAAGACCTCATGATAGGAAACCTCTTTGAAACTGGTCTTCTTGATGCCTGAGTAATGCTATTATGCTTTCAAAGGATGTGCATTTTTCTTCATGGGATAAGATAACACTTTGCAGCTACCATCTATAAGCTCTGGTCCACACTGCTTTCTTCCTGAACTCTGGAACAGATCTCAAGGCCAGAACTGTAACTGTGAAGACAAGGACAAATTACATTAATTTGTGCAGTCCAGAAAGGACATTATTCTCCCTAGTCATTTTACTAACACAGGTATAGATTCAGTTCTCCTTTTCCTGAATCTTTTAATGACTTTTCCACTTCCTGGCCTGACAGTTTCTATCCCTTCCCCACAGTACAGTCTTCAGT